GAGAGAGCTCGTAAAATGACCCAGTGGCTGAGGTGAGCCACTCCTCCCGTTTAACAACTGAAGGACCAGGGGAGAGAGCTTCTGTGTTTGGCTAAGTCCCAAGTCAAGAGATTTTTCATATTAAACTTTTGCTTAGGGTTCTTAATGGTGTTTGAAGTATATTCTCCTTACCTGTGTTATTAACTATAAACATTAAAATTTCTGGAGATTAGTGTTTGTCAGGTTTTGGTCAGTGAACTCTTAGGCAGGGAATGTTGCTCAGGGATAGTAGTGCAAGTGGACGGAAGTGGTAAACTTGTGACCTGGCCTGTGGCTCAATTGATTGAGTGCAGTCCCACAAACCGAAAGGTCACAGGTTCAGTTCCCAGTCAGGGTGCATGCCTTGGGGTACATGTTCCGTCCTCAGGGCACATACAAGAGGCAAACAGTGGATGTTTCTTTCGCACATCGATGTTTTTCTCCTTCCCTTCCCCTCTCTCTGAAATCAATTTTTTTAAAAAACTTTTTTTTGTTTTTGTTTGTTTGGTTGTATTTTTTGAAGTGGTAAACTGGATTAGGAGGTGAGGCACGGAGATGCTACCAAGCATTCACTCAGGCCCTGGAAAGTGCTCCAGGGATTTTTCTAGTTATAATCACTTTGTACAAATGAGGAAACTGAAACCCTGGAAAGTTCTGTAACTTGGCCAAGTTTTCTTGCCATTCTCCACAATCTCACTGGTAAAATATTTTTTGTTATATTTTGCAAAGTAAGAAAAAGAATTACCACTCAAAACGTCATAAAGAGTATTTTCCTAAATTGTGATTCAAATGGTCCTGTTTTTCTCATTGCATTTTATGTGAAGTGACTGGCCACACACATACATATTTTTGTGAACAATGCAATATATGAGTACAAATAGAAATAGATTTTGTAAAAAGTTAATGTCAGTCCATTCATTGAAAAAAGTACCAAAATAATCACAAAATTCATTAATCATGTTTAATAAAACAAAAGGGGGTGTTGAATTGGTTAATTAATTTATAAAGCTCTAACATTCTCAGATCTGTAAACTTTTAACTGATTTGTAGAGATCATGAAGCTTTATGACACAATTTTTTCTTTAATTATTTGGTACTTATTTTGCATTCGTAGTGATTCATTGCAAAAAAAGTTAACAGCAGTAATAGGATCCTCTGGGTGAATTCTCAGGTAAACCTCATGCAGAGCTCTTTGAAATTCACTTGGGATTATTCATCCAGAAAAGCAATTCCTTTCAGGTTTGTGAACTCCTTTGCCCACAGGTGAGATTCCCAGGTTGAGAGCCAGTGGAAGGGGAGGCAGTGGAAGGATCTGATGTATATGGGCCTTTAGAGATGAAGACAGGTGTTTCTCCTTCACTCATCCCCCTTGCCTACATCTGGGATTAATTATAGACTACGGAGAAATTGTTCTCCAAATTAAGAGGTCTAACAAGAGTGCTTTTTGAGATCCTTAGTCTCCCAATTAATAGATACCTATTAAGGTAACAGCTGGTGCCTAGAATTGTGGTAATGTATGTAGGCTAGGGGTAGTGAAGAGATAAATGGGTTAGAAAAAACCCCACTTGTAAAATAAAGGAAATGAGCTATCAGCGTAGCAACATGACTGTACCTGACACTCACCATTGCCCCTAAGGGAGCCTCCCTCGCTCCACATGAGCTAAAGTTCTGTTCAGATAAAATGTCTCTTCTGTAATCTTTGAGCTGCTTGATCGAGTCAGGTCCTTGATAAACTTAATAGTTTGTTATTGATTTTTATCATTAATAAAGGTTAGCGTTATCATCATTCCTTTCCTATACAACATACTAGCAATTTTTTTTCAAAACTTGTTTAGGTAAAGAATATTTTTCTTTGTTCATTGAATTCAGTATCAGGTTTGTATATTTTTCAGAGCATTTGTATCACTGCTATTCCATTCCACATCTTCATAACATTTATTCCTAGTATGCTTTCAAGTTCTTTTTACCGGCACTTGAAAATGAACACAATTTCATATGTATTCATTAGCAATCACTGCTGTAGGCCTTTCTGTGAGAGAGAGAGAGAGAGAGAAAGAGAGAAAGAGTGTGCGCGCGCGTGCATGCACATTTGTGTGTGTGTGTGTGTGTGTGTGTGTGTACACACTTCAAAGGCAGTGGCTCATTATGAAGTAGAAAAAAAGCTAAGACCTTGTTCTGAATCTTTACTGGGTGAGAGAGGCTTCTGAATCATGATCTCTTATCAAAATGTTGGCCCACATAACAGAGTTAAAGTCCAATTCATGTGTCAAAACCTGGGGAGCCATAAAATTGCACAATGTAGGAGTAGAGGAATTTCACTCCTTTCAGAGACTTGTACCTTTTCTATTTTGATGGCTGTATTGTTTTGCCCTGAAGATCTAAAATGAGAGGATCCACTTTGTGCTGTCCAGATTAAGGGGTCTTTAAATCCCAGGTCAAGCAGTACCTGCTGGTGGAATGATTGCAGCTAAACAACCCGCTGGTTCCCCCAGCCTCTCAGTACCACCTCCCAGACCACTTACCCATTTCCTCAGCCTTAGGAAGCTCTTTAGTGGTCCTCTTTGGAAACAAATTTCTGTTCCTTGTTGTTTCTTTTATTAATAGTCACTTCTCACCTTAGAACTAGGTCATGTTTCATAGGTATTACTTGCCTTGCTTTCCAAGAATTCCATTCTGCCTCCTTTAAACTCTAGGGGATTTCTCAAAAAAAAACAAACAAACCCATAGGCCTTTTGGTAAAATTTTGTCATTACAAAGGGGATAAACTTATGTTTTCTTTGTGTATATAGTACATTTTAAATAATCTGTTCCCCAAGAACAGGATGCTTCTTTGGACAATTAGAAAAGTGGAGGCTCTTCCATCGTCATGTATTTTAACAGAATAGCACCATGAAATGCCATTCACGATACAGTTGAAGACTTGTTTCTTTCCCCAATTGTGTGTGCTCTTTTTTCTCTCTATATTTTCCTACTTGTCATATATGTATTATGCGTATATTATTTTGCTACATATGTATTATTTGAATGCTATTTAATGTCATGGATACTGTGTATGTTCTTTGTGGGGTTTTTTTTTTTTGTTTTTTGTTTTTTTTACTCAGTTTCGTTTGATTTTTCTATGTTGATAACTATGGTCCAACACTAATGCTGCTCTATAAATTCTGTTCACATCTCCATATGTACATGTGTAAGAATTTATGGTACAGGCTGAGGAGTTGTTGGTTTTCACTAAATATTGATGAATTATTTCTCCAGAGGGGTTCCTCCATGATCCCAGTAGCAGGGTGTAACCATTTTTGCGTGTTTTCAATGGTTAGTCTTTTTAGACTTTGCAATTTTTTACCAATCTGATGAGTATAAAAAAGTTATTTTAATTTACATTTCCCTGAATATATATGATAGTACTTTGACCATTTAGTAATCTCTTTTGGGAATTGCCTAATTCCCACCTCTTAGCTATTTTTCTCTTGAGTTCTATGCCCTTTTCTTGTTGGTTTCTACTAATTTCTTACTTAGTCTGGATAATAATTCCAAGGAGGTGATGTGCATTGCACATACCATCTCCAAGTCTGTGGCTTGACCTCATAATTTCATTGTAGTCTTTTGATAACCAGAGTTAATTTTAATATAGTTTTTGCATGTATGATTTGTTGTTTCTGTTTTAAGAAAACCTCTCCCATGAAGTCGAGTATTTTTTTTCTTTGTTTCTTTTCATAACTTTAGCTTTAAAGTTTGAAGCAAAACTTAATTTAGCTCTGGAGTTGAATTTTGTGTGGGTTGAGGTAGGAATACAGTTACATTTTTTTCTTCTCAGATAAATAGTTGTCCCAGCACCATTTATTAGCTAGTCCATCCTTTCCAGTGATCTGCAGTGTCTCATTTGCAATATGTGACATTAACATGTATGTGCAAAATTGTTTCAGGATTTTCTATTCTAGTCTCAGTCTATTTGCCTAATCCTGTGCTGGTGTACATTTCACTAATTACTATGGTAGTTGTTTTTTGTTTTTTGTTTTTTTCCCCGTCACCACTTATCCCCCTCATACCCTCTTCCACCTCCACGCTCCCATCCCCACAATCACTACAGTATTTTCTGTGTCTGTGACTTCTTTCTCTTTCTTTTTTGCTTGATTCCTGCCCCACCCCCACCCCAGAGCTGTCGATCTGCTCTCTATCTATGAGACTGTCTCTGTTACACTTAGTAGTTCAGTTTGTTCATTAGATTTCACTTAGCATAATATTCTCCGGGTCCAACCATCCTGTCACAAAGGGTAAAATTTTTCTTTTTTATGGCTAAGTAGTGGTCCATTGTGTGAATGTACCAAGGCTGCTTTATCCACTCATCTATTGAGGGACACTTGGCCTGCTTCCGAATCTTAGCTGCTATAAATAATGCTGCAGTGACCATAGGAGTGCATATGTTCTTTCAAATCAGTGTTTTAGGTTTCTCTGGATAAATTCCCAGAAGTGGAATCGCTGGGTCATAAGGCAGTTCCATTTTTAATTTTTCGAGCTATCTCCATACTGCCTTGCACAGTGGCTGCACCAGTCTGCATTCCCACCAATAGTGTGCAAGGGTTCCCTTTTTTCCATGTCCTTACCAATACTTGCTGTTTGTTGATTTATTGATAATAGCCATTCTGACAGGTGGGAGGTGATATCTCATTGTGGTTTTAATTTGCATTTCTCTAATTACTATAGTTTTACAGTAAAAATCTGTATATCTGGTAAGGCAAGTCTCTCTACCATGTCATTTTGCTTCAAAATTGCCTTGTTTATTCTTGGCTCCTTACACTTATCCTGTTCATTCTTATGTCTGCTTAAAATTAAACCACTTATAATATGCTTTTATTTTTCACCTCTTGGACATTATGTTATTACTGTCATGTATTTTATACATTTATTATAAAGTCCACAATATAATTTACTACTTTTTTTTGGACAGTTATCATTTGAAGAGGTTTAAATGTGGGGAGGGGACCTAGCTTTGAGAGCACATGTAATAAAGTTGGAACTATACGGAGATTATCATGGCCCCTGCACAAGGCTGACACACAAATCCAAATAAATGTGTGTGGGGGGCTTACCTATTTACCTATGTAGTTACCATTCCTAATGCTCGTAATTGCTTTGCATAGCTCTGTATTTCCACTGGCATTTCCTTCTGCTTGAAGAACTTCTTTTAATAATTTTTCTAGTGCAAGGCTTATTGATGAATTCTTTCAGCTTTTATACCTCTGAAAAAGTCTATATTTTGCCTTTGGGTTTTGTTAATATCTTTTAAAGATATTCTTGCTGGGTATGGAATTCTAGTTTGACAGTTTCCTTTCAATACCTTTAAAGATGTTGCTCCATTCTCTTTTAGCTACATTATTACAAATTAAATCTGCTATCATTTTTATTTCTCTGTTTGTAACAGCCCCACCACTTCCACCTGACCCCTGGCTGCTTTTAAGATTTTCTCTCTTTGCCATTGATTGAGCAGTTTGATTGTGATAATACCTTGGTGTACTTTGTGTTTATGTTTGGGATTCATTGAGCTTCTTGAATCTGTAGATTTATATTATCTATATCTCTACTTAACCTTTTGAACATAGGGAATACAGTTACATTAGCTCTCTTCTATGTTCTTATATTTGTTATTGGTACTAGGTTAGTTTTGACTGATTGATTTTTCTTCTGAATATGGGTCATATTTTCATGCTTCCTTGGAAGCCTGGTAATCTTTGGCTAGATGATGGTCATTTCTGTGTGCTAGACATTTTTGTATTTCTGTAGTTATTGTTGAGTTGTGTTCTAAGATGCAATTATGTTTCTTAGTAACAGTTTTGTCTTTGAAGTCTTGCTTTCTTAGACAGGACCAGAGCCGTATTTATTCAAGAGCTAATTTTGCCTCACTAATGGGACAGCACCCTTCTGGGTACTCTAGCCTGGTGCCTTATGAATAATAAGTGTTTTGGGTTTGTTTTTTTCTTCCAGTGTGGCTAGGATGAATAGTTGTCTGGACAATATGTCTTTTATTTCGAGCCCTGTGAAAGCTCTAGGCACTGTTTTCTGTTCCTTTCAGGTATTTGTTTTTCCTGGCCTTGGATAGTTTTCTCACATATGTTGTACTCATGAGTACATTGCGGAATTCTCAGGGGGGACCTTCTGCAGATTTTCACTGTTCTCTCTCTCTGAACAATTTTCTCCTTTCCAGTAGTCTGTTACAATTCTAGATCAAAGTAACTAGAATTCTTACCTCTACCTTCTCTATTGGCCTCCTTCTAGGTTCTTTCTTATTGTACTGCAGCCCTTAAGCGCCTAACGTTCAAATATAAGAATTGAAGTTGCCAGTAAGTGAAAGCTGAGTGAGCAGAAAAGCATCACTTTTTCGGCTTTCAAATTATATATTAGATTAAGTTCTTCGCATTTCTTAAAGTAAGATTGCACTTCAATTAGTTCTTAGGTTCATAAGTCTTCCAGGAGTGTTCCTAGTTTTTGGAGTCCTTTTATGATGCTCCTGCACCAGGGCATAGTTTATGAAAAACTATGTCCACCAGGACCAAGTGCCCTGTCCCTTGGAGCCAGAGAGGTAATTAAGCACAAGCTCTTTTTCTGGGACTTCAAGGGCTAGCGCTGTGCTACAAGCCATTTTGGCAACTAGGTTCTAAAGTAACTGTTCAGAACAGTTATCTGATGCATCAACAATACCTCCATGAGAGAACATTTGCTGACAGGGATTTTGGGGGTTCTGGTAATGAGGCACCTGAGGTGCTACTCTCTGAATTGATGAACCCATAGTAAGACTTTCCTTACTGTGCCCTTCGTTGCCTCTGTAACCTGCCATATTTTACTGTGCATAATGCATATAGCCCAAATTTTTGAGAGGAAAATAAGGATGCAAATTATACATGGTTAGTATTAATTCTATATCTACATAAATGTTTTTAATTGTTTTATTTATGCTTATGTGTTAAAAGTGTAACTCTAGAAGGCAATAATAACACCTGTATATGCAAAATAATACGGTGGAATGCGATAATTGGTTATGTTTCTAAATATAAATAAATAAATGCCTGAGAGAATGTATTAAAAAATTAAAACGAAAGGGGTTTTCTTCCCCCTGAAAGTTTGGGCCAAAAACATGGACATGCATTATACATGATAAAATACAGCATCATTTTAGCTATGAATCATTGACATAAAAAGGAGTATCTCCATGTGTTTAATTATCATGTTTTCTATGGATGGGATGAGATCCAACTATTTAAATGGATAGTTTAAATTTGCTTTTATTTTTAGTACTTGTTTCTAGTCCTTACATGTAACTCAAAGTATGTCAGAGATATAATTCCATTATTCAAAAAGAGGATTGGCTTTCTCACTTCATAAAATGTTAGTATTTGTTATGAGCAATATAGATATCCTATAATAAACAATAGTAATTACAGTATAATGGTTTATCCCATGAGTCCACAAACTGGCCTGCTGGCCAGATCTGGTCTACTGCCTGTTTTGCAAATAACGTTTTATCGGAATACAGCGAAGCCCATTCATTTATGTATTCTTGCTATAAGAGCAGAATTGAGTAGCTACAACAGAACTATGTCCCACAAGGTCTAAAATGTTTACTATGTGGTCTTTTACAGAAAATGTTCGTTGGCTTCTGCTGTATTCCATTGGTGTTGAAGTGAGGTAAAATTCTTAAGGCCAAAAACTAGGAATCAGAAAGGAAAGTAGAGATAAACTAAATAGTGCTCCGGTGGGAGATTGAAGTATACTATGGTGGGAGGCATCTGAGCAGCCAGAATTAGAACCTAAGCTTCCTAACTGCTCATTCCGGAATATATTTGAAATACTTAGCCAACCTTCAAATTGGCACCAGAGATGTCTCAAGAATTCTTAAATTTCATTTTATGGTCAATAAATAAATATTTAAGATTAGCAATAATTAAAACTAGAAAAACATGAATTTGGTAGTATAAATAAATTTAAAAACCCTCTTTTAAGTTAGTGGTTTAATTGCAGTTTTCTATGCTGTTTATTATTCTGAAAAACTATATAAAATTTAGAGTTCAAAGGTAATACTAAAGCCTAAACATTTTATAGCAGATGTAAACATTTTGCCCACTCTGATTTAGAGACCATTATGATTCACAGATATAGAAAGTCATCACAGCATTTCTCTTATTAAAAATACTAATTTTCTCCCTTTTTTGTTTTTGTTTTTATTTTTTAAATTATATTTTATTGATTATGCTATTACAATTGTCCCAACTTTTCCCCCTTTGCCCCCCTCCACACAGCACCCCCCACTCCCTCAGGCAGTCCCCCCACCATTGTTCATGTCCATGGGTCATGTGTATAAGTTCTTCGGCTACTCCATTTCCTTTACTGTACTTTACATCCTCATGGCTATTTTGTAACTACTTAGTTGTACTTCTTAATCCCCTCACCTCTTTACACATTCCACCACACTCACCTCCCATCTTGCAACCATCAAAACACTTTCCGTGTTCATGATTCTTTCTCTGTTCTTGTTTGCTTAGATTTTTATTCAATTGCTGATAGATAAGTATTTTTGCCATTTTATTTTTCATAGTTTTATTATTCCTCTTATTTTTTTTTAAATTTTATTTATTGATTTTTAGACAGAGAGGAAGGAAAGGAGAAAGAGAGGGAGAGAAACATCAGTGTGTGGTTGCTTTCTTGCACCCCCTGCCAGGGACCTGGCCTGCAACCCAGGATGTGCCCTGACTAGGAATTGAATTACTTAAACTGGCAACCGTTTGGTTTGCAGGCCAGTGCTCAGTCTGAGCCACGCTAGCCAGGGCTGATATTCTTTTTCTTAAATAAGTTCCTTTAACATTTCATACAGTAATGGTTTGGTGATGATGAACTCCTTTAGTTTTTTTCTTGTTTGGCAAGTTCTTTATCTGCCCTTCAATTCTAAATGATAGCTTTGCTGGGTAGAGCAGTTTTGGCTGTAGGTCCCTGCTTTTCATAACTTTGAATATATCTTACCAATCCCTTCCAGCCTGCAAAGTTTCTTTTGTGAAATCAGCTGACAGTCTTATGGGAACTACCCTGTAGGTTACTAAGTTCTTCTCTTGCTGCCTTTAATCTTTGGCATTTTAATGATGATGTGTCTTGAGGTGGGCCCATCTTGTTTGGTACTCTCTGTGTTTCCTGGACTTCCATACCTATTTCCTTCACCAAATTATGGAAGTTTTCTTTCATTATTTTTTCAAATAGATTTCCAATTTCTTGCTCTTTCTCTTCTCCTTCTGGCACCCCTGTGATGTGAATGTTGTACCTCTTGAAGTTGTCCCAGAGGTTGCTTATACTATCCTTTTTTTTTTGGCTTCTTTCTTCTTCTTCTTGTTATGATTGGCTGTTTTTTGCTTCCTTATGTTCCAAATCATTGATTTGATTCTTGGTTTCATCCACTCTACTGTTGTTTCCCTATAAATTGTTCTTTATTTCAATTAGTTTCTGATTGGATCTCTTTTATGCTGTTGAGGTCCTCACTAAGTTCCTTGAGCATCCTGATAACCAGTGTTTTGAACTCTGCATCTGATAGATTGCTTATCTGCATTTTGTTTAGCTCTTTTTCTGGAGTTTTGATCTGTTCTTTATTTGGGCCATGTTCCTTTGTCTCCTCATTTTGGCAGCCCCCCTGTGTTTGTTTCTATGTATTAGGTAGAGCTGCTTTGACTCTGTGTCTTGGTATCATGGCCTAATGTAGAAGGTGTCCTGTAGGGTCCAGTGGCACAGCCTCCCCTATCACCCAAGCTGGGTACTCTAGGAGCACCCTTTGTGTGGGCTCAGTACACTCTCCTCTCTTAGTTGAGCCTTGTTTGCTGTTGGCAGATCAATGGGAGGGATTTACCCAGGCCAGTCATCTGGAAGGACTTTTTGTGACCACTGAACACCAGTATCTGCCCTTCGTTGAGGATCAGCCTGTGCAGGGTCAGGGTGATGGTGCTCCATTATGGTCTGTAGCTGCCCACTGGATGCCCTGGCCTTGGGGTTTCCCAGGTGGTACAGGCCAAGGGCAGCCTCCACCTGTGTTTTGCCCAGGGCCACCCTGCCTGAGCTATAAAGCAAT